AAAAAACTCCCCCCCCCCCCCCCCCCCCGAAAAAAAGAAAAATGGAAAAAGAAAGAAGGATTTGATTGTGGGAATGAAGTGTAACATTATTATGATTTAAGCTCGAAAATCCCATAATATATTTCCATAGTTAAAAGACACTGACAAAACACACAATTCAATGATATGTGATAATACTGACGACCAGTATCAAATGGCATTTCTCATGTCCAGTGGTATAATTGTTAATAAAATTTTCAGACACTGTTCATATACTCTAGGTTTGACAAACTTTCCGCATCAGTCCCAGTATATGGTTTTTAACATCAAGTACAAGTGATTTACAGTGTGCACCAAATTCTAAGAAATAATAATTGTTTATGGGGAAAGAGCTCTAGGAATGATATGACAATAGTTAATTTAACAGAGGAGATGATCCGAAATAGAACTGAGTAGAAGAACAGGATTCATGTAGCCGATCCCAAAAAGACTGGGATAAAAGCTTTGTTGTCATTGTTCTAAGAAAGTTGCTTGCACTTGATAGCACTGCATCAGCTCCATGGTCAGGGTTAAGTATCTTGCCCAACACAAATATGAATTTATGCACCAATGAGATTTAGTAGGCAAACTAAACAACAGCGCCACAAAACAACCACCCTTGTGCTATATGTTGATGAATTAAAATTTTCTCCCTAGTTCTAGATTATTGTTAACTCTTTTCTTTCCCCCTTCTAGATGCATGTCAATGGATTCTTCAATTATAACCTATCTGAGACTATCTTGGCAGCATAAAATCTTGTGCATACCAACTTTCAAAACTCATAATTGCTTAAGATCAGTACGAACAGGGAGAAGTGCAATAAGTGTTGTAATTACTTGTTGTTTGCTGTCCGTAACTGCTGCCTTTCAGCATCCATTGATCGCAATGCTTCATTAGCCTGTTGCTTAGTCCGTTCCAGTTCCTGTTGTGTTGCTAATTGCTGAGCTGAAGTTTGTTCAGCCTTCATATTTACATCATTCATGCGAGCTTCCAGGTCATCTTTTTCCTGAAAATGATTCAAGGTATTTGATTGTTCAAAGACAGTGTAGTCTGCAAAAATGAATTTCTATCAAAATGGTCATGAAGTGCATACTGTGCGAGATGTGATTCAGGACATAAAAATCACTTAACAGACTTAAGCATGTAGTGGATGTTGCCAAATTGCAGAACCCTATATGAATCCAAACGTAAGCTGCCATATAATTCATTTGGCATGCCACCTTACAGGTTAGGATGGCAACAAAGTTGAATGCAGAAGTGATTAGTGGACAGGCACTTAAGGGCCTATAGCCACCTAGGCCCTGGCCTGGCTACCTGCTTTTGCCTAATGCTTATTACAGGATGTTCCCACTGAAAGCTAGGCACTTTTTATAGGCTTCTAGGTCTGGCACCGTTCAACAAGCATATATGCATAGAACCAACAAGCATTCAGATGGGTGCAAAAGGAAAGATTGCCATACATTCAGTAGCTTAAAGAAAAGGACAATCCAAAAAGTAACAGTACTTCACCTTTTGTATTTCTTGAATACGTTGTTTTGCACGTTTATGAAGTCTTCCGAATTTACTATCCAGCTCAACATATTTATCATCACGCTCCTTTATCTCTTGTTCCATTTTTTGTTGAGCTATATCGTAACAAATACACAATAGTTTAAGAATCCAAAGTAAACATAAAATGATGAAGTATGACAAAAATGTTCATAATAGAAAAAAATCTATTAATGACATATGGATGATAAAAAACCAAAGATAGTTATTTTTTACGAAGAAGTAAAGTAAATTAGTTATGAAACCCCTACAAAAGAAAGAGGTGTTAAGCCCGCGACCTATAAACGAATTAGTATGGCAAAGACAGTGAATTTTCCTACAATGCACCGAACATCTGAAATGCTTATGAAGTTCCTTATGAATTATAATCCTATAAAGTATGTATAAATTTACGTGTGCTCTTGACTAATCGTGGTAATTGGCAGCATCCCATTATAATCTTGAAAGCAATAGCACTAGGAGAAGGTATGTAAAATGGACATCCATGTAAAATGCCAGTTGAGTAATCCTGAATCCCGATCAATATAATTTATCAGCACACCCATTATTAGATCTGGATAGAAGTTATTGGCAATATTTTGGCACAAAAAAGGCCCCTAAATAAACTTTTCACAAATTAAGTTGGTACAGGAACTGTAATAGAGGATTCAAATTCAACCACGGTTTTATATCTAATTGGCAAAATTAGAACTCGAGGAATGTACAAATGTTCTTTTGAATGTCACCAGTACTGAAGGTATGTAATTCATTACCTACCATCAACATAGGTGAATGAATAGAAAGAATTTGTGTTAAGTAGAGGATAAAAATGGATGAAAAAGGATTATGTATCTAATATATATAACTGCACAACAAGAGAAATTAAAAGGCTTCACGTTAATTGCATAAGCCTGCACTAATTAGCAAAAATAGAGAGGTCTACCTGGTTTGCTGAAAGGCCTTCCCTATTACAGAATACAGAACAAGGTTCTTCTTAAGTTGCCTCATCTAAGATTCTGAACACAATTAGCAGCAATGAGGGCTGGTTTAAGGTTCACTACCAGTACCAGCTGCAAAAACCTAACAAGATCCTCTTGTGGAGTTCTCAATTTTGAGTCATGAGGATGGCAGCGCATGCAGCAACTACTGAAACTTGGTCTAGATTATTCATGTAAATGCACCTTGCTACAACATAATTCCTACAAATATGCAAGGGCCTTTTGACAGTCCATCGTCAGCTAAAATACTCAAGCAAGAAACTTCAATTTTCTAGGTGCTTAGCCATTTGCAACTTGTACCCAAAGTTGTCCACTCAAAAGCAGGATCACAAAATCTCCATCACCACACCACCTCCTGCAGCAAAACGACTTCCACTCAAACCAAACCCACCATACCACTCCACCCGGTAACTTCATGTTTTTCAAAGTGCACAAATGGAAAGCTCTCAGTATTATCAAACTTTTGACAGAATTGTACTATCATTTACTGAGATATAAACAAAGTAACTAAAAGATAATTATGTAGATAGCAGGTTCCTTTCAAAAAATAGTTGTTATCCTATATTACGTTCCGACATGATCTGAGAGAGGAAGCCAAATGAAAAGGAGAGATCATATCAACATTATGTTCAGATCTTCCTTACCAGAAGATTGTGATGCTTTCCATACCTCTCTTCCATCTTTTTGAAAGAAAGTAATCTTTCCTTTATGCCATCTATATGTTCGCTTATCCCTAGATGGATCCATCTCACTCTTAGCATTATACTACACATTATGTGTGAAGTGAACTAGACATATGAGCAAAGCTTATGTGAAGCAAGTTGAGATCAAAAAGTGGCTACCATATTGATGTTCTTTCTTCCAACATACTTTTTTTTCAGTTCAATAAAAAAAATAGCTAAAATTATTTCTCTGTATTCTTCTCTAACCCTCATTTGAATTTATCTTTTCCACTTAAATTATTTCACGGAATCATTTTTACACATCAAAGTATCAAATATGGGTCAAAATACTAATGCCAACAGGATACGTCAATATGTTTTATCTTGCATTTCAGATCATGTCATGTGTCAGTTAGAATGCAAGTTCCTACACAAAATTGTAACGCGTTACTATTACTTCTAGACTCCCGGAGAGTGTATGTAGGATAAACGGAGAGTGTATGCAGGACAACCGGAGAGTATATGAACCACAATAGGGTAGATTACCAGGCTACCCAGTGGCCACCAGTTCATATGGCAATCTCCTCTCTTGTCCACAAAATTATTGTTGTCAAGATTTTAGCACACCGACTAAAAGGCTGATGTCAACATGATATTGGGAGCCGGGCACATCAGTTTTAAATGATGTTCATTATAGCCCTCTTGATATGGAGCTGTATTAAAATTTTGCTTGAGACATCCTAGCAATGTGCAAGAAAGAACCTAAAGGACCCAAACAAAGTTTGATAAAATGATCTGAAAGATCCCTGAATCGTCACTTAACCAACGTGAAATTCAAACGAAGCATATCAACATATATGATCATAAAGGAGAGTGGTGGGAAAGTAACAAAATATAGATAAATAGAGTAAAACCGAAGGAAACAACATCTCACCTTCGGCAAGTTTAGCCGAGAGCTCCTGAACCTTAGCATCGGCATCAGAGTACGACGCCCTGAGATGCTCCAAAGCACTCTCCGCCGCCTTCTGCGTCTCCTTCTGCTCAACGACCTCCTTCTTCAATCTCTCAATCTCCTCATTTAATCTACTGACTTCATGCCCGCTTGCATTCTCTCCTCCAACAATCTCCACTGATCTCACTTCTTGATCTTTCACCCCCTCAATGTGAGCTTTTAGATAATCATTCTGAAAACTTAGCTCCATGACCTTCCGAGCCAGCTCATCCTGGCTATCGTTGGGACCTCCATTCTCCATTTCGAGATCATTAGGCGACGTCTCCTCGGCCATTATTCCGACTATATCGAACAACGAAATCGGCGCGATTCTAGAGGAGAAATCGAGCAAGGATCTGTTAACGAGGAATTAAATGGGAAACAAAATAGAAATTTGAATTAAAAAGAGAGAGAGAGAGAGAGAGGGAGAGAGATCTGAGACTTATTACCTAATTGAAGGAATGGAACTCGATCGAGCCCTAAAAGAGAGAGCGATTGAGTTTTGTCGGCGTCGGAATCCCTCCTCTCGGTTGGATCTCCGAGAGGTGGAGGTCGGAGACGCGATCTCCTCCGTCAATACGCTTAAATTTGGGGGAGGGAGGAAGGCTTTGGAGTGGGAAGTATTTAATGGGATTTTTGTTCCAGGGCCTCAGGCCCATTAGCTAAATAGCGTAATATGTACATTTAGTCCTATTTTTTTTTAATTATATCAAATATATATCATATCATATCATATCATACTCCTTTTAAGAGCACGAGTTCGGAAAAATCTTTCGGTAGACAAAAATACCCTTGGAATTTAAATATTATTCTATTAAGTAAGAGTAAATTGATAAATTGATGAATTCTTATTGGATATACATAGTATGAAGATAATGATACAGTTTAAATTGAAATGTAAATCTAAATAAAATTATTAAATGTTAAATTTATAAATATCTACAAAATGAAGGGCGTATATGTAAAAAATAAATAAATTAATGAGACAAATAATGTCTACCCTAAAGGTCGAACCCGGGAACAACGTAGACCTACAAATGTACATAATGTGGATAGAATATTTACAAAATCCACCAAACAAATTAAAGAGACAAAAGTCATTCTCAAAATTATAAAAAAAATTAAGGAAAATAAAAAATCATACTCCCTTTAAAAGCACGAGTCCAGGAAAAGTTTTCCATAGTCAAAATTACACTGTACTATTTTAAATATTTAATTTAAATTATAATCTATACTAATCATACTTATATCCTATCCTAAAACCTCATGAACTATCTATAGCTCAACAACTTAAATAAGATTAATAAAATATATGAAACATCTCCGTACTATCATTTTATTACATGAAGTATTACAAAATAAGCAAAAAGATTTGAAAATTAGACAAAATACTCTCAAAAGATTAAAATTAAATAAAATGAAAAGCTAAAAATTTAGAACTTGGCAAAAAAAAAGAGTAATTGTATGATATTTTTCATTAAGATATATAAATATAACTTATAATTTAAGGTTTACTATCCCTTTTTAGAATCTGAAAATAGTCAAGCTGATACTGGTAAAAAAATAGTAATAATAACAGATTAAAAATATCCAGTTAAATAATAAAAATTTTTAAAAATATATTATAGATTAAAAATTAGTGTTATTGTATAAATTAAAGTAGCTGCATATAATTTTACCAATATGTTAGAACACCAAAAATACATAAGTATCATTAATTGATAGAAGACTAAATCACAAAAAACTGATAAAAGACTATAATGTAATAGCTTAACATTAATTGATTATAATTTATAAATATTGATCTCTAATGGTAATAATATTTATTAGGTAAAAAATTATAAAGATTGAAGTATGGAAAACTATTAGAAAATTTAGAGATATCTTTCAAAAAAATCAAGCGGTTTTCATTTCAAATGGAATTCAGAACGTCTATGAATCACTTCAATTAACACTAATATAAGTTATATTTATCAAAAAAAAACACTGATTGAATACCCCCTGAAAAATATATTGAACAACTTTGTGCTCATCAAGGAAATATTCTTCATAGAAGATAAAAAAAATACTATACTTTGCGTAAGCAAAAAATATAAAATCAACATTTTTCTTTTTCTTATATAGTATCACGACCCTGCGTGTGACTTTATTTAGGAGTATGACTACTAACGAATGATCAATTCTTAAAGACACTATCAAAGATAATGATGTAATAGCACTATTAGAATTCAAGATCTCTAAGTATGAAGGTAGTATATTTCATTAGTAAAATTCTTATTAAAGGCCACTAAATATAAAATTCACCTTATATATATCTTAATTTTATAAAGGAGATATGCATGGCATCGTAAAATGCGTCAATATAATATATATCAATCCAAAGATATAACTTACTGAAGAAATAAGAGAATAGTAAGTAAACCAAATAAACATCCATATAGCATTGTAAAAAATTATATTACATTTTAAAGCTAATATGAAGCGCTCCTTTAGAGTAAGCTGCCAAGATAAAAGCATCTCTATTAAGGCTCTTTATAAATACAACATAAATTCAAATTACTAATATATACAACCATTATAACATTTGAAAGATGTATGATCTTAGAAAACCTACTCTAAAATTCATATAATTAAACCTAAGAATAATTTATCAATATACAGACACACTATCGCACCTTTAAGACAACGATAACTACCATTTATAATAGAGTTGAGCAGTGATTCTATGTTTGCAAAGGCTGCAATAAGAAAGTAGATAAATATGTTAATAATAAGTGTCCAGATAATAAATGTTGTAGAATCTCCGATGATTTAGTACCAAGGTTAAGTGATATCCCTTCTTCATGAAATAAATATATCAAAATTAAATATTAATATTATAATCTAAAACAAATTGACAATGAAAAATTTAATGTATTTAGTTCAGATCCTCATGGAAAATAACACATACAAAGCAAATATAACATTATGACACAGCAGAAATTCTTATTGGATGCACTACAAAAGATTCCATTGCAGAGAAAAAAGAGGTAGCTCCTAACCTTATTTAAGTAATAAATTAAAAGCATAAAAAATTTTATATATATGAAATTAATATTTATTCTTATTAAAATAGGAAAAAATCAAAGTCTGTATTGTCAGAAGTTTGTGTTGAATATAAGAAATATATTCAACTTCTTTGTGAATTTAGATGAGAAGACAAAAGATGAATGAGCCCAAGGAAAGATAACATGCTCCAGTCTTATATCAAAATTGATGTAGACGATGAAAACACTACTACTCTAGAATTAGCTAGAAAAAAGGTAAAGATGAAGAATGATTGATCTCGACTCAATAAAAAATAAAATAGAAGTAACAAAAGATAATGTTTTGTGAATTGTTATAGAATAGTTTTATTTTTTAGTAAAATTAGGAATCTTTAGAAGAGATTTTCATAAACTATTTTAGTGTTTTCATATGCATATGTGGATGTTTTTATCATATAAAAGTGTATTAGAGTTAGCATTAATCTTCAGTTTATGATCTTTTTTATTAACCATTTTCTGTCATTTTGGCCCATTTTAAATCAATCATCTTGGCTCGTTGGCTTTATTATTCATCTTCCTTTTATAATGTTATTTTTTCAAGTGTTTTCACTCTCATAACACTATACTTCCTCGGGTCAAGCTCGATTTCATGCTGATCCAAATGAAATAAAAATTTAAATTGGCTTTAGATTATATTTCTCTCCTGACAATTCAACTATCAACATAAAAATTTAAACTGGATGTAGCCTATTCAAACAAACATCAAATAAATAAATATTCAAAGTATAATCGAGGAACAAATTTTAGTAAAAAAATAAACCAAAAATACTTAATCAAACTGAGCAAATTATTATCAAAGAGTAATCGATGAATAAATTTCAGTAAGAAAATAAATAAAAAATACTTAATCATATTATTTAATCACGTGCATTGCACGTGCATAAAATCTATTATATATATAGGGAGAAGTGTTCCTAAGGTGATGCCTTAGATAATCATATAAGGACGCGACCTAAAATCACATGATTGAGTTACATTGTAGATGATCCGCTCCGTTGAACTTGATCTACATATTTTAAAACCCCAACACACCAAATTTGGGGTGAACCCGTCGTCTTTTGACCCTTCATTCACTCGTATCAATTTTAACGGTTTTGAATGAATAGAACTTTTTATATGGCTCGACGGAGGGTCAAACGACGATGGGTTTACCCCAAACTTGGTGTGTTAGGATTTTAGAATATGTAGATCAAGTTCAACGGGGCGGATCATCCACATAACTAAATTATTTAGAAGAATTTAACTGCCTATTATATTCAATTGAATAAGTTCTCTTGAATTATTATTATTTTATTTTTTGGAGTATATCAAATGTAAATATGAATTTTCGAAAATAACCTTAAAGCATATAGCTATTTCTATTATTTAAAAGAAACTGACATTTTGGTAACAAACTTTACGGTTCTACATTATGTGAGTCATACTTTTAAACTCAAGAAATGCTCTCACAATTTATAATATTTTAAAAGTTGTAAGAGATGCAAACCTAGAAAAGTGAAGTACATCAAGCACCTATATGTTGCACTACTTCAGTGCTCACCTCACATTCATGTCATGCATGCATCATGTGCACTTAAAGACTAATAAAGTATAAAATTGACTTTCATACTATATCTATAATATTTGAAATACAAAAAAATAGTCGCCCTTTGTTTAATATGCAAAGAAAAAAAATAGAGATGACTGTAGGCGTATAAAACTGCCTATAGGTCCCTTAACATAGTTCGACAACGCCAATTCGACGAACCGACCATCGGGCGACGTATGCAGACACGATTGTTAGTCCACAACGCCGAAGCCAAGTGATACGCGACGAAGCGCATTAACGAGGCTACGAAGCTAATGAACCGCACGCAAACAACGGAATAAATCCACTCGCGTGCGGAATCAAGCTAACGGTTTGAAGAGTCAACGAGTCATCCAACCAAGGGCGGACTCGGATGAATCACGACCGAATCAAGATCGGTTTCGGACTCGAACTCAGAAGTGGATTTACTGCCAAAACAGGAATCGGATCTACTGCCAAATCAGATCAACAAATCAGAGTCTAAGTCAACGGACAAAACGGGAACAAACGACAAAACGACAGAACCCAAACACCCTGAGAGGCTCGGCCATCAACGGGTTTGATAAGCTTTTACCGACTACCGTTTGAGTCGGGCTAGCATGCGGATTATGTAAATCCGTTCCGCATGTGACTTTGTGCTAAGAGAGTTAACGCTCTTATTGCTACGATATTGAATACGTAGACTTCGTCTTCCTTACGGGAATAGACTACCCGGCGACGCGTGTTAGGCGTTGACTTTGGGATTTTTGGCTAACCCCCAGCCTTCAACGGGTTTGATAAGCCTTTACCGATTACCGTTTGAATCGGGCTAGCATGCGAATTGTCTAAATCCGTTCTGCATGTAACGTTGTGCTAAAGGAATGAACTCCCTTAGACTTGATGCTACGACTTCGAATACGTAGACTTCACCATTGTTATGGGAATAGGCTGCCCAGCAACGTGTATTAGACG